CTGCTGCTGCCGCTGCTGCTACCACTGTACCACTATGACTACGCGGTCGACAACTACAGCTACTATTATTACTACCACACCACTACGAGTACTGGACTAGTACTAGGAAAAAAGCTTGAGGAACACCTAAGTGCAAACCTGGCGCTTCCACTCTATCTAGTGGTGCAGACTGCTGCCAATATTACGACCTTGACTCCAGCACTAGAAATTCCAAGCTTTGCACGTCGAGGGACGTAGAAGGCGATGAGCTTTCCAAGCCCCAGGTGCCCGGCGTAAGCGCAGGCCTCGTGCGAGATACCCTCCTGCGCAACATGGGAAGGGTGGACGATGTAGCAAGCTCATCCCAATCAAGCCTGAAAACTAAGAATCAGAAGGAACATAGTGCCATATGCACGTTCAGGCCCACGACGGATTTTTCAAGAACTTGTCGTCCGACATGTGCAACAGGTTCAATATCCAAACTGCCACCTGCCGCCCCCGACTTCCGCGCCCCTTCAGTCAAATTAGTTCGGACTCTTAGCCAGATGCCCTCACTGCAACCAACATGAATTCCACTTCACCCCATGTAGTTTGATCCAAGCCTGGTCTACTCAGCGTGTGAAATGTTTTTAGCCATCTCCTGCATGCAGCCATCTCCTGCAATGGTGTAGGTGTAATGATCGATCAGCGTGAAATCCGGCCTGGGTTGCATCGCAACATGGCTTTTCCCGGTGCCTTTGAAAGACTTCGGGTGGTGAAGCCGTGTAGCTTGAGGGTCAAGAGGCACCAAAGCTTTCCAACATCGAGACGATAGACACTTCAGGATCAAAAGCGGATTGGGGCACCAAAACATGCTGAGCCCTTTGCCTACATCGAGCCCTGTAACTGGCAATGTTGCCACGGGGCTTGTTGTAGGTTGCCGCCACGTGTGCCTCAGCGGCTGCCAAGCCAACGGCATTGGAGATTCCCATGCCTTGTGGCCGGCCAAGAGGGCATCGGATTGCGTGAAGTTCGGAGCGGGCTTGGTGTTTAGCAGTGGTCCTAAACCCCACCACCCTGAATCCGAGGACACAAAGAATCTAAAACCCTCCTAAATCCCTCCAGAGCTTAGAGCCGCAAACCGCCAACCTAAACCTTTGTGCAGTGGGTGGGGAAGGTCAGCCGACTGTACCGTACTCGCTTTCAGCACCACTGTAGACTCAACATGTCAGGTCCAAGCTATCGCACCAAAGCCTGGGGTACTGGATGGACCCACGGCAATGGCAGTTGACTGCTTACTGAATCTATGCTGGTCGGATTTGCCTGTAGGTTTGGGACAATCTGCTGCACCTTTGTTGTTTAGGTTTTAGACGGTTTGGACCATCGTCAGCTCTTGGCCGACACGCCCAGAAGACCCAAACCCTTGCCCTTTGCTCAAAGATTTGATGCGTCGGGCTGCCCAGAGGCCCGGTGGTGACCTCGATTCCGGCCGTCTCCTTATTGATCCGATTGATCCGAAGGCTCGTGGCGTCATGGGTCGAGGCACCAGCAGGGATGAGACCTCAGGGACCTCTTATGGGGCTGTGGATTTTGCTAAGCCAGTCGCCTAGACCGAGTTCGCTTCTGGAGGCTAACAAACTCGGTGGAGCTGTCCCGCAGCCAACCCATAGTTAGCCATAGTTCGACACAACCTCTGAATTTTTCGACCGTGGACGACAAAGACCTAAACATAAACAACAGCCTGAGTCTCGAAATTCTCTGGATGGCCAGGTGTCTTGGAACCCCACTGCCTGGCTTGGGAGGCTAGACCGAGACAAAATACTTTCGGAGTTTAGGTCATGTTGGGTTCAGGGAAGCTAGTTCAAGGTGCATGCCTGTGGCCTCGACCCTCAGATTTATCGACGCACAAGAGAACCACAGCAGAACATTGAGAAGCCCAACTGAATTTGAGGTTGCGGTATGGGGACATATAAAAAGAGCAATCTGTTGCGTTGACACAACAATCGGCAATGAGCTTGTCGTTCTTTCGGTGTCATGGATTACATGGTCAACCCCGTCTGATCCCGAGAGAGTGAGATGCAATCGCTTCAGCTGAGCAGGAGCCTGAACTGCTTGAGGTCATCCATGGCCACGCTATCGTAGCCGGCAAGGTGCAGCAGGGAGTACCTGACCGAGGTATGCAGGTCTTCAGATTTGCAGATCTGAAGCCGAGACTGAGTCAAACTTTGGAGTGTTGCGTTGTGTGAAAATTCCATTCGTACAGAGCTCGAACTGCTCAACTCTTACAGGTCCGGCTTTCGCAGGTTTGACCAAGAGGGACGGGTGGGTATTTATAAATTCTTCCCTGCTGCGTTTGCCTGGCGGCATGCTCTGCCGCGGCACAACATCAGCTTAAATTCCAGAATCGGCTCTGCTTCTTCCCAGAGTCTTCGAGCACACCACTGACAATTCGTATTTTCTGTCTGGGGACTGGGTGGTATCACCAACCATCTCCGATGTCTTGTAAAACTCTCAGAAGGCCGAGATACTGCAGCATGCAGCCATGGCCGGAGGAAAGCACGAAGCGGTCACGGTTGACCCAGGTCGGATCCTGAGAAGTGGAAACGAGCCCCGGTCGGAACCAGGACGCAAACAACTACAAGGCTCTAAGTGTGACCCTAAACGGATTGCCTGAGTGGGGGGAATTCCAAGATGCCAGAATCCAGAGTTTTAGTTTGGCTGGACGTGCCGAGAGCACGGGGCACGTGTTAGATTTGTTGCTTTGTGGACAAAAGTTCGGGGCTCACAATTGAAGCATTGGGTCTGCTCGGAGGAGCAGAGACTACGATGGAGTCAGTAGAACGCATCTAGAGTTCTCACTGTCGTCGCCCACTCGGATGAACGGTGCCCTCTATGGGAATGCAGAACACATCGTTCTGTTTCCAAAGCTGACCTTGGGGTTGTAGGCCATCTCCTCCGCAAAGAGCAGATAGCCTCAGCTTCGGCGCTTCGGCGATAAGAGCTTTTGACAACTTGCAGCAGAGATACTATGCGGAAGAGCAGCAACATCAAGAGGTGGTGCCAGCTGGAAGGAGCGAGATATCAGCAAACGCGACTGTGTAACAGTCGTAGCATTACATCCACAGTTCCTCCATAAAGGGCACACCTCGTCAAGCTAGCACCGGTGCAATAACGTGCCAGCTACCCTGACCTCCCTCCGGGACCAAGAGCAACAAAACCATATCGTCAAAGGCCCAGCTGCCGATGGGTGCCTGGCCCATGGGCGCGCCAGGATGGCCAGAATTGGCCTGGCCATAAAACGATCATGCTCATTTAACAAGTGCTGGTATGACGACCAGCATCACAACACTCTGCACCTGCACCTGCACCAACCACTACTCAAACTCCTGCTCCTGCTCCTGCTCCTG